TCCCCTGCTCTGTCTCTCTAAAATATGAATGAATGAATGAATGAATGAATGAATGAATAAATAAATAAATAAATAAATAAAATTTTAAAATGAAAAAAATAAAGTGCTCGACCAAGGGCTGTGCTTACCAGAAAGCCCATAGGGGATCCTTAGTTCCCCTTCTGGGCATCGGGGATCACCGGGCAAAAATGGACAAGCCATCTGCAGAAACCCAAGACAACACATATGGAGACTGCCTCCATTTCCAAATAGGGAGACACCCCCAAAGATTATAGAGATTAGAAACCACTGTGCTTAATTTGACACTCAGACACCCATTTCTCTGGCCTCTTCCAGCTACCATAGCCTCAAGCAAAGAGGAAACAAAGGTTGCAATGGAAAAGAAATGGCATCATTCCTTGGGGTGGGAGAGAGGTGGTGATCTTTAATAAGAAATAAATTGGTAATAATTGGGATACGTTGGTAAAGAGCCCACTTCTGTCCACTAACTCAAGTGGGGGCAAGCGAGATGTATGGAAAGTCTATCTTACAACCAATTCTCTTAGGCTCCTAAGAGGGAAGGGAGGCTTAGGGCAGTAACACCATAGGTTGATTACTTCAATTATAAAGTAACATTGAAATAAAATGTGAGGAATTGTCCCATCACTCAAAATGAATTTTACTCAGAGAATTTTAGTATAGGAAGGGATCTTAAGGGATAGCCTTCCTATAGAACCACACTGACATTATCTAGAGGAAATTATACTATACTGGTAGAAACACATTCGGCTTCATCCTTCACATCCCTGAAACATATTCCAGGGCCTACTAACCCTCCCAGAATGATGTTCTGGCCTCCAGTGAGACTCCAACTCTCGCTAGGGAGAGGAGGAGACAAAGAAAAACGGATTCTGGCTGCTCAGAGGAGAGGAAAAGAAGGCAGTAATTGTTCTTGGAGAGCAAGATGTATGAATGTCCTGTACAAAGAGAATGTCTCTATTTAGGAGTGACTTTTATTATCATTTTACATTTATTTTTAATTTGAGACGGGAGAGACATCTGAACTGTCAAAGCTTTCTTCCCATCACCTATTATCCTCTCTGAAGGACACAAAGCTTCAGAAAGTAAATCTCCATAATAATCATGGAGGAATAATATGAGTAACAGTTAACATTTATTGGGAGCTTAGCAGACACTATCCTAAACACATTACAGCTATCGTTTCAGTTTATCCCAGGGGATATACACTATTATTATAATACCTATTTATAACTGAGGAAACTGACTCGATTTCAGCATAGGTCATGATCTCAAGGTTTGTGAGTTTCAGTTTGAGCCCCCGGACTCCTCCTGGTTCTGCACTGACAGTGGGGAGCCTGCTTAGGATTCTCTTTCTCCATCTCTCTCTGCCCCTCCCCTGCTTCTGTGCGTGCTTTCTCTCTCTTTCTTTCTCTTTCTCAAAAATAAATAAACTTTAAAAAAGAAAATTCCCAAGATTACCCAGATAAAACTGTAGAGCTTGAAGATGAACCTAGGCAGTCTGGGTCTGTGCTGTCGAGAACTGTACTTCATGCATTTCCAGAGTCTGGCTCAAGAATGAGAGCATGTAAATTCTGGACAGTTCAGGGAGTCCCACCCAAGTGTCTTAGCAGATGACTGTGACCTTTCCATTCATTACATTGCAGGACCAAAGTAGACCGGGAAGCCAGAACCGCTCAGTGCATGCTCTTAGCCTTTGCTCTCTGTCCCCGTCCATCCCTCCTCCCCTCCCACTTTTCCCTTCAAAACAAAAACCTTTCCCCTACACGGCCCCACCAATTCGTGAGGCATGTGACTTGGAGCACCAGGGCAATTGGCAGACCCACACAGGGACGATGCCAAGAGTGTGTACAGCTGGAGGTCCCAACAGGACCTGGGAATCACTGGGGCAAACACAGGAGGGCAGGTGGCGGGAGCCGCATACAGAAGTACTCTCTGTATCTTTCTAGGAGGAACAATCAGTGGGAAGAAAGAAAAGAGCAAAGAGTTGGTCTTGGATTCCCCCTAAGGGCTAAGTTTCCCTCTAAACTAGAGCGCCTCCTTGGCTAACTTCTGTGATACATTGTTTCAAGATAGGCCTCAGGTTTTCGGGGCAGACTCTCTTCTCCCTGCCTTTACAATTATCTCCCAGAGTTTTACAAAACAGCATTTTTTTCTATTTATATTTCTTTGTTCATCTGTTCTAAGGTCCCATTAATACATGGTTCCTGGCTTATGCGACTCCACTGAGCCCCATTACTCTCTACTGTTTAAATGTGCCATTCCAGGGGCGCCTGGGTGGCGCAGTCGGTTAAGCGTCCGACTTCAGCCAGGTCACGATCTTGCGGTCCGTGAGTTCAAGCCCCGCGTCGGGCTCTGGGCTGATGGCTCAGAGCCTGGAGCCTGTTTCCAATTCTGTGTCTCCCTCTCTCTCTGCCCCTCCCCCATTCATGCTCTGTCTCTCTCTGTCCCAAAAATAAAATAAACGTTGAAAAAAAAAATTAAAAAATAAATAAATAAATAAATAAATGTGCCATTCCAACATACGGAAAAAATTTTTGAGCCATTTTTATGGAAATCTTTACAACATGTATTATGCACATCTCTTCCCCTATTAAAACAGTATATATTCCTAACTTACCCTTTTATTATTGTTAACTAGAAATTGCCAGTATTAACCAAGTATGATTCACTATGTGATGTTTTCAGATGCTAGAGAAAAGTGAGGGAGCTTTGGCCTAATTGACCCCAAAACATTCATAACTGATGTTTCTCTTATTATACTACAGCTTCTTCCCATGCTGTTTGCTCTCACTGCTCCACATTACATCTCTTTATAGCTGTTCCTATTCTCTGTAACCCAGAGGAAGCATCACTTTTAATTAAATAAAACCAACACTAAATTTTGTTCTAATAGCTGGCTTCAACTTTAAAGCTCTACTATTCAATAAAGTAGCCACTGTCTGCATGTAACTATGGAATTGGTTCATATGACTAAAAACTTGAATTTTTTATTTCACTTAATTGTAATTAATTTTAATTTTAAAAGCAATACTCAGTTCAGTTACTGGAGTGTTTTTAAGCATATTTGCTAGCAGTTTGGGTATGTGGATCCCCTTTTTCCAATAAAAATTTGGCATTTGAATTGAGAAGTATAAGATATACACTAAAGGGCACCTGGGCGGCTCAGGTGAGTTGAGCATCTGACTCTTGATTTTAGCTCAGGTCATGATCCCAGGGTCATGGGAATGAGTCCTGCATAGAGAGCTCCACACTGAGCTTGGAGCCTGCTTGTGGTTCGTTCTCTCTCGCTCTCTCTCGCTCTCTCTCTCTCTCCCTCTCCCTCCCATGGCCTCTCTCCCCTGCTCATGCTCTCTCTCTCTCTCTAAAAATAAAACAAATCTTTTAAATGAATTCTTTAAAAAGAGAAAAATAAATTTTTAAACAAATGAATAAAATATAAAATATACACTGATATTTGAAAGACTTGCTATAAGAATGTAATCTACTTCATTAGTAATATTTATAGTGATTACGTGTTGAAAGTATAAAATTTGACATATGTTGAGTTAAATAAAATATACTGTTAAAATTAATTTCACCTGGCTCTTTCTACCTTTTTAAATATGACTGCCAGAAAATTTTAAAGAGCATAAGTGGCCTCCACCAAATTCCACTTTGGTAGGACTGCTCCAAAGTGTTGTTACTCAAAGTATGGTCTGTGCCCAACAGCATCTGCGGGGGAATTTGTTAGAAATACAGAATCTCAAGTTCACCCAGACCTACTGAATCAGCATCTACATGCGAGTAAGATTTCCCAGGTGATTCTTTTTTTTTTTTTTTTTTAATGTTTATTTATTTCTTTTGAGAGAGAAAGAGAGAGGGGGAGAAGAGGAAGAGACAGAGAATCCCAAGCAGGCTCTCACAAGCCATGAGATCATGACCTGAGCCAAAATCAAGAGTCAGGCACTTAACCAACTGAGCCACCCAGGTGCCCCCAGTTATCTTTCAATGAAAGAAAATAATGACAAATTTTATGCATTTCTGGCTAACAGTTTTCAAACTAACCTTAAAACATCAGTGATCCATGACTCGCACACAGCTCGAACCCCAGGCCACTCATCACACGAGTTAAGGCAACACTGAGACTGATCTAAGTCCCATTCAACACATAGAAGTCCACGTGCTTGGATATTGAGCAATGGTGAAGTATTGCTAGTAAAGTTTCCAGATGCTTACTCTCAATTTCTGTACTTGTCATAGAGGATTAAAAAGAATCCAGTTCCATATTGCTCGCCGAGCAATACGTCTTTGAGTAACAGTGCTTTAGATCTGCCTGCAGAATAAAAGATCAGGATTTAAATAGTCATCTTTCTTAGAAGCCTTTAGATTCCAGGTTTCTAGATTTATGCTGTATAAATGAGACTGGCAGAGGTGAGGCCCCAGACAAACAAGATACAGCTTGCTCCTTAGTTGATGAGATCAGTAACATTAATTCAAACCACAAAGACATGTTTATAAGTTTATTCTCTGTGCTCACTATACCTTTCCCTTTGAGGGAACGAAGTGAGCCCTTCTCCATAGGTGAGGCTTACATTCGTCTTTCCACTTGTTCACACAAACAAAATAATTTTTGCTTCACAGAGGACAAAAAAAAAAAGAACTGTAGATATCCAAAATGGTAAATAATATTAAAATACTAAGGACCACATTCCCATTAAAATCAGAACAATCCTCCATAGTACATTCAAAACACAGAGGCAATGTATATTAAAGACTAAATATACCAAAAGTGCTTATTACTCAACCTGGTTGTAGTTGTCTGAGACACTGACATGTGCTAGTTATTCATGTCAAAACTAGGAGTGGGAAATTAGTGTCTCACTAAGTGCACAGTTGTCCATTCTGAAAACCTTTGACGTGCTTCTTCTCCCAAGTCCTAAATCCAAACAGCTTCCCTATGCTGCGCATTCTGACTTACTGCTACCTCACAAATCTCGCCTCTCTGTGGCAACCGCCATTGCCTCTGCTCGGGCTGCCATTAGCAATCAAGTGGATTTGTGTTTTAGGCTCTTCACTGGCCTCCTTCCTTCTTTTCCAGACTTCCTATTTCTTTTGTGGAACTGGAATTATCTTTCCAAAATTTAATATGAATCACTTCCACATAAAAACTCAGAAGACTGCCATAACCTTCCTATAAAATGCAAATTCCTTAACTTTAGATGCAGAGTCCTTCAATAATCTGAACCCTCTTCTCCGTGATTCTTTCAACAATACCCTGGGAAACCAAACTACCTAGCAATTGTCCATCATCCAGATAGTACTTCCTGGCTCTGGTCTATTTCCATATTTTCCTACATTTTGAAGTAATGCCATATCAATCTGGACAAGGGAGTTCATCCTGGGTTTATTTGTTAACATGTAGTGAATGAAATAGTAATTCTGATCATAAAATTAAGTAATCAGTGTTCACCCTATCTCAAGTGCAGGGTAACAAATCCCATTAGGAAGGGTTACCTTGGGGGACTCCTGGGAGGGCTCAGTCGGTTAAGCGACCAACCCTCAATTTCGGCTCAGGTCCTGATCTCATGGTTCATGAGTTCCAGCCCCACCTCAGGCTCTGTGCTGACAGCACAGAACCTGCTTGAGATTCTGTCTCTCCCTCTCTCCTCTCTCTGCCCCTCTTCCCATCTCAAAATAAATAAATAAACTTAAAAACAAACAAAAAAAGAAATGGTAATCTTGGAGTGCCTGGGTGGCTCAGTTGGTTAAGCATCCTACTCTTGATCTCAGCTCAGGTCCTGATCTCAGGGTCATGAGTTCAAGCTCCATGCTTTAAATTAAAGAAAAAAGAAGAAAGAAAGAAAGAAAGAGAGAGAGAGAGAGAGAGAGAGAGAGAGAGAGAAAGAAAGAAAGAAAGAAAGAAAGAAAGAAAGAAAGAAAGAAAGAAAGAAAGAAAGAAAGAAAAGGAAATAAAAAGATAAAGGGTAACCTTAATCTTTATCAATGTTTGAAATGTCTAAAAATCAATATCCGTTTCATGTGTGTGCACACACATGCACGAATGCAGACACACTCATGTGCGTGTACCGTTTGTACAGGAACATGTTGAAGAAGGAAGAGCCAGCCTCTACAGGTCTGTGGTTTCCAACAGCTGCAAGGAGATGTCTTGTTACTCAGACTTTCCTTTCCCAGAAGATTATCCAAACTATGTGCCAAATTCTCAATTCCTGGAATATCTCAAAATGTATGCAAGCCGGTTCAACCTTCTGAAACACATTCAGTTCAAGGTAAGACACAAAACATGAGTTAGTAGTCAGGAAGTATTTCCTACCAATTTCCTATTTCTCTCCATAGCCTAGCCCTTGGCTCTGCAGATGAGATCATGAACTGGCAAGATTGTTGACAGCTGGCTGGATTCCTTTTCCCCTTGTACTCATACCCACCCACCCCCGCCGCCTTAAGTAAATCTGGAGGTGGAAATGGATACTTTCAGTAAGGATTCACATGAATAAATTTTTAGTTTGCAATAATTTCACCCAAGTACCCAAAGGGACCTAAAAATATCAGGCCACATTCTCAGCTCGGAACAAATGCACACAGTGACACTGATGACTTCTACCCATCTGAACCAGAATGGGTATAGACCAGAACCATGAGTGCCTTCTACCTAGCCCATACCTAGGCACTCTCCTCTGGACTATCCCTCTATAGGAATAAGCATGTGCAGGGGCCCACACATAAGAGAACCCCACAATCTGAAGGAAATCTTTTCTAGATATCCTTGGGAATAGAAAGATCTTTGAATATTGTTCCTTATAGAGGCCTTACCACCTCCCTTCCCATTTCCAAGAACAGAGGCAGGAAGAAGGTAGAAGGATGGGGACAAACATATCTTCTTTTTTTCCCCTCTCCAAGAAACATGAAAAATCCACATGTTTTCTTTCTCCTCTCTTCCCCTCTCCCTACTACAGATGGGGACTGTAAGGAATTCCTAGGGAATTGAAAACAACATGAATGACCAACACTAGTAGCAAATAAGATTCATATTCACAACCTTAAAAGCACTGATAAAAATGAAACCACTATCTTGAAGAGATATCTACACCACCATGTTCACTGCAGCATTATTTTCAATAGTCAAGACATGGAAACAACCTAAGTGTCCATCGATGGGCACATGCATAAAGAACGCATAAGGAAAATGTGGCACACACATACACACATACTGGAATGTTATTCAGCCATAAAAAAGAAGGAAATCCTGCCATTTGCAACAACATGGGTGGACCTATAGGGTATTATACTAAGTGAAATAAGTCAAAGACACAGACTGTAGGATCTCACTTGTATGTGAAATCTTAAAAAAAAAAAAAAAAAAA